ACAGATTTGACCGAAGTCAACAGGAGGGAGAATGTTAAGTTTCATATTAAATCTATTATCATTGTATCAATCATTATAATTGTTTTCTTATTATTGTATTATTATTGTCAATTATTATAATTGTATTCTTATTAGTGCATTAATTATATGTGTACATAAGTACCTAAATTAGTTCTTATGTTGTTTTTGTTGTTGGTGTTTATTTGTGTTATCAAACATTTAGCAATGTTGCTGGCTCTCACAACTAAATATTCGCACGCTAGCAGCGTGCCAGACGTAACATGATCATCTTCACACGCCACTGTGCAAGGTTGATAAGCATTATGTTCATTTTCTTTTATCGTGTGTTCGTTGTGAGTTGCAGCAATAGGCAAGTCGCTGCGACAATTCTGTTGTTCCCACAGGTGCAATATGAGTTGGCGCATGGCTTCAGTGATAACACATTTAAGTCACCAAATTTGTGAAGCAGGTTGATATATGGCAAAATACATATATCAGCTTGCTGATTGCATTAAATAGTATAAGCATAGGTAATGCACATATTTCCCACGAACGCCCTTGGCCTTGAATGTTCAAAGTCCATCGGATAACAAATCGTGGGAACTGGGTGCATTTCCTCCTTTACCATAAGCTTAGTGTTAAGAATTTTGTATAAAAGCACAACATTTTTAATAAACATTTGATTCAATTTAACAACCTGAATACAACCAAGTGTTTTCTTTTGGTTTAAGTGCCTAAAAGAACCTTGAGCAAAGTCGGTTTATGTGCCGAATTTGAAAATCAATAATAAACATAAAATAAATAAATAAATATCTATATATATATTTACATATATATCTAGATATCTATAAATTACGTAACTGGTTCATGTGCCGGATTACGTAAGTGAATTACTAAGCTGGTTAAAGTGCCGGATTAGTGAATCCGTATCAGACTAGATACGGAGGATAACATATCGTGAAAAGCTAAGCTGGTTCAAGTGCCGGATTAGCTTCAGTCCGTATCAAACTAGGTACGGATCATAACAAGTATTTATAATGTTAACTAAAAATTATAACTGTCATAACCTTATTTGTATTTTAACTTAAAATATTAGTTGTTTGTATATTACTTCGCAACTTTTGTGCATTTTTAAATGCAAATTTAGTAAGTGAACTTAAAGTATTTGTTTGGTAAGTTTTGCACCAGTTTAAAAGAAATAAAAACATATTTTAGGAAGATTTTTTTATTCACAAAAAATATATATTTACATAGGTAGAGTATCTAATTTTTAATAAAAAACACGAAAGATTAGGAAAATATTTTCTTGAACAGGTAGCAGGATGCTTAGACTTGCTAATGTGAACTTAAAAAACATAAAAAGGAAGTAAAATTTTTAACTCTTTTGGTAGGACACAAAATTTTTAAATTCAAACCAATTAGTTTCCACAGAAATATATGAATGAATCTTAATAATAGATTAGGTAAAATACCTTTAATTGATACTCTTATATAAAAAACAAACAAACTAAGCCTCAGTCGTGTTAATCACTTACACTTTAAAGGACAAAAGTGATGATTAAGTGATAAATAAAATTTTATGAAGTCGTCCAAAATTGATATATTTAATATTTTCAAAGTAAGATCCGTAAAACCGATCCTCTTTACTCATAATATTTCGAAACAAATACTCTTTCTCTATTCAAGTCATGTACGTATTTAACTCATATATCATACTCTATTTATATTTTATATTATAACAAAGTTTTCAAGTACATTGTGAAATCAACTTTATTCCCATGTTTTAAATTAATAAACCTTAAAATAATAAGTAATATAAGCAATAAATGTAAATCTAATAATAAATTCAAAATTAATATATAAATAGAAAATCATTTCTTCAATAAAATATTTCGCCTTATGACGAAAATTAATGCAAATCAGTCTTCCATACTATTTTGTTGCGTTATTCATCGTAATATTGTGCGCTTTTAAATCATCATTTCACACGAATGTGCAGTAGACATTTCGTCTCCACACATTTGGGTGCATTTTTATTTTCGAGTCTGCACAAAAAATGTGCTCCTCGTTTTCTTTTCTGCACACGTTGTGTGCGAGGGCAAGCTGACTGCCTCACACACAATGTGCCATGGCATACTGGACAACAGCTAACGATTGGACATGATGACATGATAATGGAGGAGGCCTACAAGAAAAGGCATCAAGATCGATACCAGTAAGATTCTGATTATGGTATACTGGAGCAAACGTGTGGATATGATGACATGGGCTGGTGGATGAAGTATTCTGTTACCAATATGGGCTAGAGTAAAATCTGATCCAGACAGATTTCAGGCTAATGCTTTATCTGTCTCCGTCCCGTTAAAACCTAGCAAGCCTTAAAGAACGATCCTGGTTTTGTCCTGTTAAGTTGGGGTGTAGGGGCAGTTAAAAATATCTTCTGCTTAGCTCCCGGTTTGGCTCTGAACACATGCGCTCATAAGGCTATGTGTCAACCCTCGCATGACCTCCCTGCATTGCAAAGATAATCATGGAACCACAATAAGGGTAACTACACTACGAAAGTTAGATAACGGCTTTAAGTTGGGTCCCAATTGCAAAGAATATGTCAACCAAAACACCCACACACACTGGCACTACTACTCCAGCCGGCACCGAAAGTGCAAAGGAGTCACTTATAGTGATTGATAGTCCTAGGCAAAACCCCCTCATGAGGGCACCAAGACTGACCCGCTCACCTATGCTATCACATGAGATACAGAGCAACGAGAGATTCCGCTCGTCTTCACCAGAGCTTAATACTGACACTACTCTACAAGAGAGAAAAGAAACATTTAGCAAACTCGGAGATAAAATATCCGAACTCAACGAAATGATGGGTGGAGGAAGAAGGTCCATCCACCAAGCTATGCGTGATCTCGTAGCTACAGCAACGTCACTCTATAAACAAGTAGCGAGAGAAAATTCAAGCCAAAAAAAAGACATCAGAACTAACGATAGATGTACTCAAACTATCCAGCTGCAGCAAATAGCAGGTTCATCCAAGAGACTGAGAGACCATATCGAAAGGAGTAGAAAGACTCCACCTAAGAAGACGAAGACAATACGATCAAATAATGCACCATCTAAGGAAAAAGGAAAGCATTGGCAATCAACCTGGATTTCCAGCTCGGAATGAATGGCAACACCGAAGTGTCTCAGGCACAAGCTGAAGGTAACCAAAAGCAGAATGCATGGGTCCTAAAACCAAAAAAGCGTGTAAAGCCGCCTCGACCGGACGTAGTGATTATTAAACCGTCCGAGAAAATGTCTTTTGCGGATATACTCCGGAAAGTAAAAGGAGCCCCAGAACTTAAAACAGTTGGTGATGATGTTCACTCCATTAGGAAAACACGAAAAGGTGAACTTCTATTTGAATTCAAAAGATCAACGGAAGCAACAATGGTACATCAAGCTAACATCAAGAGTATACTGCCCGAAGAAGTTAAGGTAAAAAAACACTGACAGAAAAAGTTACATTGGAACTCAGATACCTAGACGAGGTAACTACAAAGAATGAAATAATTACAGCATGGAAAGAACAAATAGGAGCAATACAACCATCGGCAATAAAAACAATAAGAAGCGCCCCTGGAGGACCCAGGACGGCTATAATTGTAATACCAAAGAAGCAGGCTGGTAAAGCTGAGGAGGTGACAAAACTACGAGTTGGATGGACCGTGTGCCGATTACTCAAAAAAATTACCCCCAGAAGATGTTACAAATGCTTCGATTTTGGACATGTTGTAACGACACTTCCCCTAGGGTCGTTGCTTATTTGCTGAGGTATGCTCAGTCTCTCCAGGATCGTTACAATAAATTGTATATGTTAGAGCGGTTAAAGTCAAATTGTTAATATTGTAGGATTCTGTAGAATTATTATAATTGATGTGTTATATGATTTATATATTATATTTTATTATATTTTAATCTATTGTAAATCATATATTGTATAATTAAATTATTATAATTAATATATTATATAATTCATATATAATAATTACACCCTGTATAAGATGTAATCAAACCAACGGTTCTAAGTCTTGTTTTTATTGCCTTTTGTTTTTTGCGCTCGAGATGAGCAATTTTTTTGTTATATTTTTTGGGCTGCAAGTAAACTCCGTTGGTTTGATTCTGTCTCTTGTTTTTCGATCGCGAACGTGTCAACACACGGGTACACATAAAAAAGTGATTAAACAATCAATAACCGAAATTGTATAAATTCAATTGTATAAATTAAATGAAATCAAAACCCAATTATGAAAACGTTTATAATTTACATTGTGTTAAAGAAATTGAAATAAAGATCACACAACCCAATTATAAAAACGCTTATAATTTACATTGGCGACCGTGACAGGACTTTTTGCAATTTGAATAGTGGTTATTAAACTCTAATTTGTTAAAAAATCTAAATATTACCCACGTGTGGTAATCATTTTTTCTTATTAAGTTTGTAATCATTAGTGTACGCGTGTGTATATTTCTTCCAGATAGCTATTCTGTGTACTATCGTACGTATATACTCTTGTGCAATTGGTGGTTCTCAGTTTAGGTCCGCTAACCTCAAAACAGAACCCCGTGTTCGCATCAAGGTCGTGCTCGACAGTTAAAATAACAACAACAAGCTATCTTTACTTGTTGATTGTACATACTTTCGCTTTTATTGTTTTTGGATAATTTGTAACCATTAATGTGCGCGTGTGAATACTTTTTCTAACCAGCTATATAGCTAACGTGTGCTAACCATTATAATATATCGTACATCTATATATATATTACATATGTACTATCGTACGTATATACTCTTGTGCAATTGGTGGTTCTCGGTTTAGGTCCGCTAACCTCAAAATAGAATCTCGTGTCCGCATCAAGGTCGTGCTCGACAGTTAAAATAACAACAACAAGCTATCTTTACTTGTTGATTGTACATACTTTCGCTTTTATTGTTTGTGGTTAATTTGTAACCATAATGTGCTCGTGTGAGTATTGCTCCTAAACGGTTATATATCTAAAGTGTGCTAACTTTAATAATATCGTACATCTGTACATATATACTATATACTATCGTACGTGTGTACTATTGTGCATTCTATGGTTCTCGGCTTAGGTTCTGTTAAGCGCCAAATAGAACCTCGTGTCCGCATCAAGGTCACGCTGAACAATTACAACAACAACAACAAGTTAACTTACTTGTTGATTACTGGTTAATATTTGCTTCCAATCAGTAAGTGTGCGGGTTCGTCAACGTCGCGTCTGACAACAACCACCGTAAGAGCAGTTCAATTTCGGAAAGCTCACTGTTGCTATTGTGACTTTTCGACTTCGTCAAATCCTTAGGTTCTGCTAAGCGCCAAATAGAACCTCGTGTCCGCATCAAGGTCACGCTGAACAATTACAACAACAACAACAAGTTAACTTACTTGTTGATTACTGGTTAATATTTGCTTCCAATCAGTAAGTGTGCGGGTTCGTCAACGTCGCGTCTGACAACAACCACCGTAAGAGCAGTTCAATTTCGGAAAGCTCACTGTTGCTATTGTGACTTTTCGACTTCGTCAAATCCCTTGCTGTTCTCAAGTATCTACAACTGTTTCAATGGCAACGGCAGAGCCAACCACTACGGCAGAACTGTCAGAACTAAAACAACAGCGAGCCTCGACGAAAGCGAGTATTTCAAGAATCAAGGCGTTCGTCAAAGGAAAGAGTAATTCGCTCTCACAACCAGAACTGAAATGTCGACTAGGTATTTTAGAATCATATTTTAAACAAATCTTAGCTTTTCAGACGTTGATCGAGAAATTAGATGCAACTGACTCAGCTAGAGATGAATTAGAAGACCTATACGTTTCCACCAAAGTATTAATCATGTCTCAACTGCAGGAAGAGGCCCACAATGCATCAGTGCTAGACGTAACAGCAATGATGCCCACCTCAAGTAAAAAAATTACCACTGTTAAAATTACCTACATTCAGTGGTAAGTACTCGGATTATAACAATTTTATTAATTCGTTTCTCCAAATCATAGATCGCGAAATATACCTCACAAATATTGAAAAATTTAATCACTTACTGAATTGCCTTACTGGTCAAGCTCTAGAGACAGTACAGGCATTTCCTATTTCGAATGAAAACTATCCAAAGGCTCTGGATAGGCTTAAATCGCGCTATGACAATAATAGCCTAATCTTCGCCGAAAATATCGCGACACTATTTGATCTACCAGCAGTATCGGGTCAGTCAAGCCAACAACTTCGTAGTCTGGTAAACAATGCATCCGCTTTGTATGGTTCACTCTGTTCGCTAGGTACAGAGAAACAAATATGTGAGGCTCTACTTATCTCGCTAATCATGCAAAAAACGGACGCAATTACACGTAGGAAATGGAATGAATCGCGTAACTTCGACACATTACCCAGTTGGGAAGATTGCTCAAAATTATTGGATAGGCATTGCCAGTTTCTCGAATCACTCGACAGTGGAAACGGCAATCAGTCATCATCACAACGTAAACCTAATAATCTTAACTCCAAGAGTAACAGACGCTCAAAACAATACGCATTTGTTGCATCTACATCCAGCAATTCTTGCTCATTTTGTTCTAGCAATGAACACCTAATACAGAATTGTCATCGTTTTAAGGCACTGGAGGTGGTTCAAAGGTTTGAAAAGGTGAAGAGCCTAAAACTCTGCATAAACTGCTTATCGCCACGCCATCATGTGGTTAATTGCACATCAACGTTTAAATGTAAGGTTTGCGCAAAGCCACATCACACTCTCTTGCATCATTCGCAATTGCCAACGAATATTAAGAGCGCGGGATCATCACGACGCACAGAACACGCTGCTATGCCCAACGACAACGTTGCCAGCCATTCCCATCTTAATATGTCATCGGCCGAGCAAATAATTCTAGCTACTGCATTGGTTTTAGTGAAGGATTCATCGGGAAGTTATCAAGTGGGTAGAGCCTTGCTTGATTCATGCTCTCAGGTCAACTTCATAACGGAGGAGTTTTCAAAGAAGCTTAGTTTAGCAAAACATAAACATCGGTTGCATGTTTCCAGTATTGGTAGTTCGTTGACCAACATAAAGTATCAGACGCTCACATCAATCAAATCTCGTCATTCAAATCTTGAACTTGCTTTAAACTTTGGTATTACGAATCACATCGCATATCAACCAAGTTCTGAAATCGATATATCGTCGTGGAAGGTTCCACCAAATACACCTCTCGCCGATGAGCAATTCTTTAAATCCAAGCGCGTTGATCTCTTGCTTGGAGCTGAAAGTTTCTTTGATATTTTGTCTGTCGGTCAAATCAAACTAGGTGAAAATCTTCCAGTACTTCAAAAAACACTATTAGGATGGATTGTATCTGGCAAGTACAAGGGTCAGCCATTTGCATCACCAGCAGCAAAATGCCTATTATCAGTTGAAGATACAGTCTCCGATCAATTAGAAATGATGTGGAAGATAGAGGAAGTGCAACCGGCTTCAAAGTCATGGTCACCAGCACATGTTGCGTGTGAGTCATTATATCGTGAAACGGTCCACCAAAATGCGATGGGAAGAATTGTCGTTCGGTTACCATTCAAAGATTCGCCAGATTGTCTTGGTTTGACACACAATATCGCCTTACGCCGTTTTTGTTCTGTAGAACGGCGATTGTCATCTAATCGTGCACTGAAGCAAGACTATCAAGAATTCATGAAACAATATCGAGAGCTCGGACACATGACGCGTGTTGAGACTCCGAAAACCAACGAACCTCATTATTATATCCCTCATCATTGTGTTTTAAAACCGTCGAGCACTTCGACCAAGCTGAGGGTGGTTTTTGATGCGTCATGTCCAACAACTTCGCAACGTTCATTAAATGATATTCTACTGGTCGGCCCGACAATTCAGTCGGAGTTATATTTGTTGCTACTTCAATTTCGTTTGCACCGATATGCCTTGACGGCTGACATTGTTAAGATGTACCGACAGATACTGATAGATGAACCAGATCGAAAATTCCAATATATTTTTTGGCGAGATACGGAGTCCGATCCTGTTAGTACTTACGAGTTGAATACAGTCACTTATGGTACTGCATCAGCACCTTTCCTAGCAACCAGGAGTTTGCAGTATTTGGCGGACAAATTTGAAACACAATACCCAATAGGCGCTGCACTCATTAAATCATCGTTCTTTGTCGACGACTTCTTAGGTGGAGCAGATTCCATTGATCAACTCACCAATATCAGACATCAGTTAACGGCCATTCTACAGAAGGGTTGCTTCGATCTTGACAAATGGCATTCAAACCATCATGACTTCATCAGCGATACTACAACAAAGAGTTTGAATCTTGATACAGATACAGTCACCAGCGCTCTAGGCATCAAGTGGCACCAAATGCAAGATGTTTTCCTATTTTCGTTTAATGCACAACCAGGTCATATTGTAACAAAACGCACCATCTTATCCCTTGCGTCTTCATTATTCGACCCGCTTGGATTACTAGCACCGATCATACTCGTAGCCAAAATTATGATGCAAGAATTGTGGCTTTTGCGTGTGGACTGGGACGAGTCAGTCCCTCAAAATCTTCACTCAGCTTGGAAAACATTTATTCAAGATCTTACAACGCTTTCATCGGTTAAGGTGCCGAGATACTGCCTATCCATAAACTATCAACAGGTTGATGTACACGGTTTCTGTGACGCTTCAATACGCGCATATGGTTGCTGTATATTTCTCCGATCACAAAACACATCAGGTAAGGTGACGGTCAGGCTATTCGCTGCAAAATCCCGTGTGGCACCTATAAAGCGGAAGTCGTTACCTAAACTAGAACTCTGTGGTGCCTTACTTCTTGCCAAACTGTATCAGAAGGTCCAACCAATATTTGCGCAATTTAAGGGTGAAACGTTTTTTTGGACTGATTCACAGATTGTATTACATTGGTTGAAGCAGCACTCATCAACCCTGTCTGCATTCGTTGGCAATCGAGTAGCGGAAATTCAAGATATTACCGCAAATGGGCAATGGAGACACGTTCCTACCCAATCCAACCCGGCAGATGTTGTGTCGCGCGGCTGTAACATCCGCCAATTATCAGAGTCTTGTTGGTTTACGGGGCCGGAATTTTTGTTACTCGCTGATAAATACTGGCCGCATTTGAAATGTCACAACCTGGATATGGAAGAAGTCAATAAAGAGACGCGAAAGGTTGTATTCGTTAACACAAATGAAGACAACTACGTATTACAGGTATTGTCAAGATATAGTTCATACACTAAGATGCTACGAGTAATAGCGCAGGTACAGCGTTTTTATCATGTAACCAAGAATAAATTGAAGAACGGAGAATGTACCCTCCAACCTATTCAGCTACAAAAGGCATTGCACTGTATTATTTGGGTCATCCAACAGCAATTCTTCGAAATTGATATACAACGCCTACAACGAGGGAACCCAGCCGAAGGTACATTAAAGCATCTAAATCCCTTCCTGGACAATGTATTCGGTTATCAATTACTAAAGGTGGGAGGTCGCCTCGAGCTGAGTGACATCTCAGTAGGCCAACGTCACCCTATTTTGTTGCCGAAGGGCTGTTATTTTGTGGAACTTTATGTTCGGCATATACACTTGTGCAACTATCATGCAGGCGCAAAAGCACTAATTGCCCTTACTCGACTAAACTTCTGGATAATTAATATTCGAGAAATTGCACGCCGAGTCGTGCACTCGTGTATTCACTGCGTGCGTTATAAACCCAAACTACTTAATCAAATGATGGGTAATCTCCCAATCGAACGCCTCACTCCAAGCCGTCCATTCGCGCGTACTGCGGTAAATTTTTGCGGTCCGATATTAACGTATCTCCGAATTCGGGGACGGGTTCCATATAAGACCTATATAGCCGTGTTCGTTTGTTTGTCTACAAAGGCAGCTCATCTAGAAGCCGTGTCAGACTTATCTACGGAGGCATTTATTGCAGCACTGAAAAGGTTAATCGGTAGACGAGGGTTACCATCAGACATCTATTGCGATAACGCCACAAACTTCGTTGGGGCTAACAACAAACTAGTAGAGTTAAAAAGGATGTTTTTCGAGAAGTCTAATCAAGTGATGCTGCAGACCTTTTGCAGCAACCAATTCATAAATTTCAATTTTATACCGCCCCGAGCACCTCACTTTGGAGGTCTATGGGAAGCGGCTGTAAAAAGCGCGAAAGGCCATCTGTATCGAACACTATCAAATACTCGATTCACCTTTGAGGAGCTTGGAACAGCACTGATTGAAATCGAAGCCATCTTAAATTCGCGACCAATCACACCTCATTCTTGTGACCCGAGCGACTACGAAGCGCTAACGCCGGCACATTTTCTTATCGGTGGGCCGCTCAAAACTTTATCTGAACCAAGTCCTCAGTATGAAGCTGCTTCATTAATTGATAAATGGTCTCGTATAACCGCGGTCAAACATCACTTCTGGCGCAGATGGTCTAGAGACTATCTGAATGAGCTGCAGATACGCACCAAATGGACAGAAGAACAGTCTAACATCACCGAGGGGGCTCTGGTTATAATCCATGAAGACAATATGCCTCCACTACGCTGGTTGATGGGCCGAATCGTGCATTGCATCAGGGGTCCAGATAATTTGGTTCGTGTTGTTGATGTGCAAACCCCAAAAGGAGTAATACGCCGTCCAATCCACAAACTCGCACTATTACCAATTGAAAATCCTTTCAAGGGGGGCGGGATGTTAGAGCGGTTAAAGTCAAATTGTTAATATTGTAGGAATCTGTAGAATTATTAATTGATGTGTTATATGATTTATATATTATAATTTATTATATTTTAATCTATTGTAAATCATATTGTATAATTAAATTATTATAATTAATATATTATATAATTCATATATATATATAATATTTTATATGGTTAATATATGGTTAATTAATTTACCTAACTAACCCTGTATAAGATGCAATCAAACCAACGGTTCTAAGTCTTGTTTTATTGCCTTTTGTTTTTTTTGCGCTCGAGATGAGCAAATTTTATTGTTATATTTTTTGGCTGCAAGTAAACTCCGTTGGTTTGATTCTGTCTCTTGTTTTTCGATCGCGAACGTGTCAACACACGGGTACACATAAAAAAGTGATTAAACAATCAATATATATATAACCGAAATTGTATAAATTCAATTGTATAAATTAAATGAAATCAAAACCCAATTATAAAAACGTTTATAATTTACATTGTGTTAAAGAAATTGAAATAAAGATCATAAAACCCAATTATAAAAACGCTTATAATTT